CCCCGAGGGCAACTCTTCCCCCCTCCTCCCTCTCCCACACCATTATGGGGCCAGGAGGGGGACCCTGTTTGGTGTGGGGTGGGGGCTCTTCTCCCTCCTGCTCCCATGCTCCCACTGGTATTGGGAGGAGGGCTCTGTGAGGCTGCCCAACCCCAGATGGGGACTCTTCCCTCCTCTGCTTCTCCATTGCTGTGGGGTGGGGAGGGGAGTGGGGGCTCTGGGATGCTGGTCAGCCCCAGAGGGAAACTCTTCCCTCCTGAGCAGGGGGAGGCTGTGTTCCATGCTGGGGGGAACTCCTCTTCCCCTCAGAGGGGCAGTGGGAGTGCAGAGCTCATCTGGGTAGGGTGTGGGGTATAGCGTGTGAGGGAGGGTGGGGGGTATAAGGACCCCCCCACACACTCCCCCCATGGCATGTAGCCCCACTGCCTGGCAGCAAATGCAGGCAGGGAGGTCAGGGTGCTTGTGTCCAGCGCAGGTGCGGCTCCGGCCAGCGCTGTGTGGGGGGAGGGAGTGGAACCTGCCTGATCCCTGCGGCTCTGTTCCCTGAGCCTGAAACTGCAGTGAGGAAAGCCCTGCACTGGAGCCAGCTGCTTCCCCCACTTCCAACTGTGCAGGTCCTGCATTCTGCTGGGAGTGGAAGGAGCCCTGCCCCCTGCTTTCCTGCAGGGTCCAGCATGGGGCTTCCTTGTGCAAGTGCTGAGCTGCAGGCATGGTGCAGAGCTGCAATAGAGGCAGCCAGTGCTGTGTTGAGGGTGAGGAGCGCAGCCCTGCACAGCCTGCCCAGCTGTTTCTATCCCTGGGTCTCCACGCTGCACCTACAGCTCCACGCTCACACGGGGAAGCCCTGCACTGGACTCTGCAGGGGGTAGGGCTCCCTCCACTCCCAGCAGAATGAAGGACCTGCACAGCTGGAAGTGGGGGAAGCAGCTGGCTCCAGTGCAAGGTTTCCCCCACTGCAGTTTCAGGCTCAGGGAACAGACCTGTGGGATAAGGCAGTCTCCACTCCCTCCCCCTGCACAGTGCTGGATGGAGCCGCACCTGCACCAGGCATGAGCACCCTGACCTCCTCACCTGCTGGTGCTGCCAGGCAGCAGGGGCTACATGCCATGGGGGGGAGTGTGAGGAGGTCCCTCCACCCTGCCCAGCTGAGTTCCACACTCCTGCTTCCCCTCTGGGGGGAGGAGGGGGAAGAGTTCCCCCCAGCATGGATCACAGACTCCCCTGCCCACCTGCCCCCACCCTGGGGCCAGGCAGCATCACATGGAGCACCCCCTCTTCCCAACCACACAGCGGCAGGGGAGGAAGAGTCCCCATCCAGCACCTCACAAAGTCCCCCTTTCCACCCTGGGAGGAGGCAGAGGGGGAAGAGT